GTGGCCTCCGCCGGGCGCCGCAACGCGGGCTGCCGGGCCGCGCGCCGGGCTGGGGCCATCTTGGGGCGCCGGGAGCTGAGGCCCCAGGTGCGCAGGCGGCGTTTTCGCAGCCAGCAGTGGCGGGGACCGCCCCGGCGAGACCCAGGTGGGCGTCCAGAACAAAAGGAGGCTCGGCGGCCTGCGCTGGTACCAGGCCGCTTCCGGGTCCAGCTGCGCCGCGGAAGGCGCACTCTGTCACGCCGAGTTCTGGTCCCAGCGTGGCGCTCTCGCCTCGCCAGTGTTCTTGTTCAGGGATTCAACTGTTCGTCACTATAGGAAACGTCAAATCGTGACTCTTTGGGACACCTGCCAATGTTACTGGCAAACCGTGGGACGATTTTTCTTGTGTTACCTGGTCTTTCAGAGGTTGAGCGGACACATGGTTCTGAATTTTAAGTGTTTCCATCTCCCCAGTTTTTAACCATCTTGAAATTAAAGCCTCAGGTATGTTTGGTGACCTAACAGTCCAAAGGGCTGTGGCAGAGGAACAGGCTAATGCCCACCAGGGACTCCCAGTGCCTGCTCTGCGTGGCCAGCTGCAGCTTGCAAGCTTCTCTTGTTCGCTGCTTGACGCTAAAGGACATTTGAGGAATCACAGGGCAAACTGAAACACACTCCAGGCTGGGGGCCAGATGGACTGGCCAAGACCTTGCTGAGGTGCCCCTAGCATCTGGAAGCCGAGGTCAGGGATGCTACTCCACTGGCCACAGCACTGTACAATCCCACCTGCTGCAGGGCCCTCTATAGCAGGCAGGCTTTGTTGGTCCCAATGTTCCTACACTTGTCTAGATTCAAGGGTCAACTTCAGGTGATTTCCCCTTTGTAATCTACATCCTCCTCTCTGCTGTGCCTGCCAAAAACAGGGTGATGTTGACTTTTCAGTGGGTAGTTGTTGCAAACCAGGAGTTTGTCCTGGCTTAAGTAAAAGTCAGTCCCTGGCTTTGAGGTTTGGAAGGACTAATCCTTGGACTGAAATGAAGTATTCACATGTTACTGGCTAGCTACACTATGCCTAGAACACCACATCAGTATCTAAAAGGCCCAGGTTGCACACCTGGATCCTGGAACCTGCACTAGCTCCACCAGGAGTTGGTCATTAACCCCTAGTTTGCAGGGCCAGGTTCCCTGTGACAGACAAAGAGAGAAAGAGGTGTGGACACACACCTTCCTATGGGGCTGTTGCCCCCAGTCTTTCCAGGGCCCACATTAATATGAGCTCTCATGTTCTGTGCCCAGTAGGATTCTCATGTGGCTTGTGGATTTTTATTACAGGTTGGTGTTCGAGGAAGGGACATTGTTGTTCTTGGTGTGGAAAAGAAATCAGTGGCCAAACTACAAGATGAAAGAACAGTGCGCAAGATCTGTGCTTTGGACGACAATGTCTGCATGGCCTTTGCAGGTATGAGCCCTGCCAGGGCCTTCTCTGGAGTCACGGTGTGCAGCAGAGCTTTGGGGACTAGTTGGGGAGAGGAGCAGTTGGGAGACATATAAACCAGGTTTCTTGGGACCCTTTGCTGGGGTGGGCACAAATGGCCAAATGAATGCAGACACTGCCCAGGTTGGGCTGCTGTGCCGCTTTACCTCCAGTTACCTTCCTTGGTCAGTGATCAGGGTGTTATCACCCTGTACCTGTGGCACTGAGGACAGTGCTTTGCCATCACCAGCAACCAATGGGTGGCATTTGTGGAACACCAGCAGTGCATTGCCATGGTCTTAATCCTACCTTCCCTTAGAAGTTCCAATCTAGGAAGATCTGTTGTTTTTCAGTACTGAGGCGTGAGCCCTGGGCTTTGAGCATGCTAGACAAGTGCTCTCACCGAGCTACATCCCCAGCCCTAGTATGTTTAAATAGGATCTGATGCACACTATTTTTTTTTTTTTTTCCGGTGGAAGGGTATACCAGGGGATCAAATCCAGGAGTGCTTAACCACTGGTAACATTCTCAGCCCGTTTTATATATATATATATATATATATATATATTTTTTTTTTTTTTTTAAAAGGAGAGAGAGATGGGGCTGGGGATGTGGCTCAAGCGATAGCGCGCTCGCCTGGTATGCGTGCGGCCCGGGTTCGATCCTCAGCACCACGTACAAACAAAGATGTGTCCGCTGAGAACTAAAAAATAAATGTTGGAAATTCTCTCTATCCTCTCACTCTCTCTTAAAAAAAAAAAAAAAAAGGAGAGAGAGAGAGAATTTTTGAATATTTTTTAGTTCTCGGCGGACACAACATCTTTGTATGTGGTGCTGAGGATCGAACCCAGGTCGCACACATGCCAGGAGAGCACGCTACCTTTTGAGCCACATCCCCAGCCCCCGTTTTATATTTTTTGAGATAAGATTTCTCTAAGTTGCTGACTTTGAACTTGAGATCTTCCTGCCTCAGCTTCCCAAGCAGCTGGGATCATAGGTGTGCGCCACTGTGGCCAGCCCACACAGCTTCTCATGTGTTCCACTTTCTCAGAAGTTTCTGAGGGCTGATTAGTTCCACTGTCCATCACTCAGAAATGCTCTGCTGGGTTTCAGAGGGCAGGTTTTGGAACTTACCTGGGTGGAACAGTGAGTGGCCACTGCAGCAGAAGCTCCTCTGCCTCCATTGCAGGCCTCACTGCCGATGCACGGATAGTCATCAACAGGGCCCGGGTGGAGTGCCAGAGCCACCGGCTGACTGTGGAGGACCCTGTCACCGTGGAGTACATCACCCGCTACATTGCCAGCCTGAAGCAGGTGAGTGCTGCCCTCCTTGTGATGCAGCAGGCACTGTCCTGGAGCGTCCTGTGTGGTGTTACCTCACCCGGACGTCTCCTTCGGTTCCTGGCTTCGTCTGTGTGTGTGCGTGTGTGACTTAAGGCCTCTCCCATTGGGCGGCACTGTTCTGTTGTCCCTTTCTGCTGGAGGCAGTCTGGATTCATGTTTCTGGAGAGAAATAATCGTTTTCATCTTGCCCTTTTGAGCCACCAGTTACCAAGCAGTTGGAAGGGGGCTGGAAGCTCACCAACTCTGGTTCTGAGATGCCATTCATCTGAAAACTAGCATGTGGCAAGAGTGCAAGTCTGCCACAGATAATTTCCAGCAGCCTCAGTTTTATTCCATAATGTAGTTCCAGTCCTGGGTGAGTCTAAGAATGAAATTGCAGAATGGAGAGATGTTGAAAGCTATTAGCTAATTTTGTTTATTAGTTGAATGGCAGATAACCTGGAGGTGGGCTTAAGATGAACATTTAATCCTTACACTAAGCACAGTTGTTTGGGATGTCACATGAATTTTCTCATGGTTGACAACACTACCTTCTTTCCCTGCCAGCGTTATACACAGAGCAATGGGCGCAGACCGTTCGGCATCTCCGCCCTCATTGTGGGTTTCGACTTTGATGGCACCCCCAGACTCTATCAGACTGACCCATCAGGCACATACCATGCCTGGAAGGTGAGTCCAGGACAAAGTAAAGGGAGGGACTAAAGTCCTTGGGGAGGTACTGGGCCTCTTGCCAGTGAACAAGCAGCAGTGTAAGTTACCTTAGTCCTAAGTGAACAATCTGTTTCATGAAATGTTACTGATGTGAATGAAAGTAAAAAGTTCACTCAATAGCAAAGGACACCAAGATTCAAGGATGTATGGCATAAATTTAAACTTCCCAGTCTCAATAATAAAATGGAATATAATTCCATTCATAACATTACCAGTTTCTCTTAATAATTAAAAGTTTAATCCCTTATTGTAATAAGAATTAGCACCAATCCGGGGTTGTGGCTCAGCAATAGAGCGCTCACCTATCACGTGTCAGGGCTGGGTTCAATCCTCAGTCCCACATAAAATAAAGGTATTGTGTTGAACTATAACTTAAAACATTTTTTTAAAAAATAGCACCAATTCTAAATCGTGTGTGTGTGTGCGCGCACACACAGCTATTAGGCCCCAAGTCTAGGGCTGTCATCTCATGCACTGCTACAGAGCAAATAGCACAGCTGGAGCAGAAGACAGGGGTGGCTCTGGTTGTGCCTTGTGAGCCCACACTTGTCTGTTTCAGGCCAATGCCATAGGCCGGGGTGCCAAGTCAGTGCGCGAGTTCCTGGAGAAGAACTATACCGATGAGGCCATCGAGACAGACGATCTGACCATCAAGCTGGTGATCAAGGCCCTCCTGGAAGTAAGTGTGCCTGGGCAAGATGGAGAAAGAGCATGTGTGACAACAGCCCATGGCAGTGCTGGATGGTTGGGAGTTGTCCAGCTGCCATGCACCACAGAGCCCTGGGAAAGTGCCATCATCTGCTTCTTCATAGAGCAGGGGTAGTCATGGCTCACCCAGGAATACAGAGCATGAGAAGCAGGAAGACAGAAGCCCAGTCATCGGGCTGTGGACTCTGTACTACAGAGGTCACTTGGCCTCCCAGAGGCTTGGGTTGCTAAGTTAAGAGATCCAGAGTAGGGGCTAGGGATCTATCAAGAACTCACAGGCTCCATCAAGACTTTGAAGGCAAAGCCAAAAGCCAGGCCCGGAGTTAGGCATTGCGCTTCCCAGTGGCCACTGCTGCCTGTCCAAGGAGGGCTGCCAGGATTGCCACTGTGTTCTTGAGGGCAGAGGTGTCTTAACATTCCTGTCTTTCCCTTCAAGGTGGTCCAATCAGGTGGCAAAAACATTGAACTTGCTGTCATGAGGAGAGATCAGCCCCTTAAGGTAATCCTCAAGTCGTCATCTTGATTTGATCATGTGGTCTGAGCTGGAATCTGGAGAGCAGATTCAGTTCAGACCCTCTCCTGTGTAAAATCATAGAAAGACCCCGTGGTATTTCCTTCTGGAGGGTCACTTCCTCCTGAGGCCATCATGCTGTGGCTTCAGCTGCTCCAATGTCCAAGGCTCCACGCAGTCTGAACATTTTTCCACTTGCTTCCATGGTTCCCAATGGTATTTATGTGTTCTCTTGGTGTATTGAGGCTGCCAAGTGCAACTTTGTTTTTTAACACCTCAGGCAAATGTCACCCTAGTTCCTTGAAGCCCTTCTCCAAAAGGGCTGTGGAATGGCTGCAGCACAAACCAGGCTGCACTGCCCGAACCAGCTAGTATTTTGTACCTTGTGCAACCTGGGGGTTAAACATGTTTCTGAAGATTTAAAAAATCCTATGTTGTAGATTCTCAATCCTGAAGAAATTGAGAAATACGTTGCTGAAATTGAAAAAGAAAAAGAAGAAAATGAAAAGAAGAAACAAAAGAAAGCATCGTGATGAAGAAATCTCTCTTGCTTAGAACAGCTTTTAAACTTGGTCACTGATGAGTCTCTGTGGGCGTTTCCATTCATCCACCTGTCTGGGATGTCAAGAGTACCCAATAAACTTCCGTATTTTTTAGCCTTTGCTTGTGAAGAGAGCATGGATCTTTTTAGGTGTGATCATACTAGCTCTTTAAGAAGATGGGGTCTTTCCCCCTTGTTTTGGGAATCTGTGTACTTGCTTTTTACGCACTTACTTTTCTGTCCCTTGTTGCCGGGCTCCTAACAAGCCAGGGTTCGCCTCTGGGGGTTCAATACAATTTTCCATTTCCTTCCAGGCAATGAGTTGCTATATTCAAAATTAGTTTTTTCTTTCGGCTTTTAATGGATTTGTCTGCCTCCCGTTTTCTACCTACCTGTTCCCCTCTCTCAAGTTTTAGCCAAAAAAAACCCTTCTTGGCCTTTGGGTCCTGGGCTACTCCAGGCATGTGCTGCTGCCTCCCTCAGCCCCCAGCTGCCCTCTCTGGCTTGCAGTATATGCTATCCTCTAAAACAGACTCAGGAGATCACTTTTAAGCTCAGCATAAAAATGTGTAATTTGTCAAAAATGACTGTCAACTGGATTAACAGCAAGGCTACTTCAGGTGGTAAGCAGCCTTTACATCCACCAGCAGCACAGTCCAGCTGCTGAGCTGCACAGGTCAGAATGAGGGCTGTGGCCCCTGGCATCTACCATACACACTGAAAAGAACTAGGCATTGGGTTACTTCCCTCCACTGCCACCACCAAAACAGAAGGCTGCCTGCTGCCAGTTCCTGCTCTAGAGCCTAAGTAGAGCATAGGCAGGTACCATAAGGGAAAGCCAAATTCAGCTGTCCCTTCTGGTCCTCTGAGCACTGCTTTTAGAGTCACCTGGAAACCCGTTATACTGAAGTAAATAGGCTGCTTTTAGCCTAAACTTGTGTGTATGCAGATTCTAGACAGCAGGGCCACTCATCCCAGAAAGGCCGCCAACAAGAGGATCCAGGCCTATCTCACTGCACTTCAGCAGGGTCTCTCCTTCCTCGGGCACTATATGGAATCAATTCCCCCAAATCCTACCACCCCAAGTGTACTCTAGGGTTGAATAGCACCTGCCTCTGGGTGGGCCCTGGATATGCTGCAGAGGTTGTTAGGCAGCACAGAAAAAAGTTTTAAGGGTTTGCATATTTATTTATAATTACAATTTACATTTCCCAAACAAAGCAGTGCCAATGCTATGTTCTACTTCTCAGCCATGAAGTCCTACAAAAATAAACCCAAGCATTTATAATGACTTAATACAGAACTAAAGCCTTCATAGCTATTTAAAGGGGTTTAGTTACCAAGGTGCTTATTTTCAACAAAATGCCCTGTCAATCAGAAGGATGCATGCTTACACTGGAGGTCTGACACATCTTACTCATGCAACGAATTTATATTCCCCACCCTCCCTCCACCCACCTTTAAAACAAACACACAAGAACTATTTACAATCCAGAGGGAAAAAAGGTCAACTGACCTTGCAAAAAAAGACTGGCTCATTTCCAAGTGGATGAGGACAAGAGTCCAACACTGACCTGGGTCAGAGGCTGGTAAGGACAGGATAAGAGAGCCAGGGGAACATTGTATGGGGTGGCTCAGGGCTTCAACCCTTGGCCTCAGTGCCTGTGGAAGCCAGGCTCTGCATAGGTAATGTTCAGGGTCCCTTCCCAGTACCACCAAGTCCACCACCCTCTGCCAGCCCCCAACCCTAACAACATCACTCCGCTTTGTTACACAACATGATCCATGGGATATCCCTTTCCCTGCCTTTGCCCCACCCACGCACATGTCCGGCCCACCCTGTGCTGGCCCTGCCAGGCTCCTGAGACCCTACCAATGATGGTGGGGGGGGGGGGGTGCCAGGCCAGCAGCACCAGGGGCCAGATGGGTTACAGAAATGTACTTGGCCGCATGTGCCAAATGAGATTTGGTTCCACTTTAAAAGTCAAAGCTGTCATAAAAAAAGAAAATCACAAAGTGAGGATCAAACCTTCACTATAGAAAATGCCAAAACCTTAGAATTAGGCTATGCGCAACCAAAAAGGAAACGTAGGTCAAGATACCTCAAAGAGGTTACCCATGAATACTTCCCAAAAAACAAGTGGTTTTAACTCAGACCACGTCTAAGTTCAGTTAAGTCCAAAACGTAAGTAGCAGTATGGGAATTTTCCAACTCAGTAAACGGGACCCACTCCTTCCCTGTTCAGTGCAGAGCATTTCTGTGGTGTCCTTGCCGTCACTTCTGTGCTCTTCAGCAGGAGCCTGCAAAAGAGGACAGAAAATGAGCATATCCACACCAACTGTTACACAGCTGCTCAGTATCAGCAGGGACTGCTGCCTGACCAGTAACGGGCCACTCAACCCTATTCCCTCCCTGGGACCGCCCACTGTCCTATCAGGGCCCCCTCCAAGTAGCACACTGAAGACTGAGAGTCAGTGAGTGGCAGGAAGCCCTGGTTCCTCCAAATGCCACCTGGTTGGGGTGGGTCAGTACCAGTCACCATACAGGGACACTGCCCAGACCCAGGAGTGCACACAATCCCTGGGGCCTCCCTAACAGGTTCTGACTCGGTGCAGGGCTAGGCTGGACTAGGGCATCATGCCAGAGCCCAGTGGCAAGCACAGAGCCCTCATTAGACTCCACCATGGTCCTTGCCCTCCCACACCCATGATCTCAGGTGGATGAAGTGGGCCCAGGTTTGGCAGACCTGGGTCAGACCTGACTCTCGCTGTTTCTAGGAGACCCTGGGTGACTCTGAGGGCTGAGGCCATCAGTTGGGCCTGACACCTTCAGGATGCTCTTCTTGTGGGAAGACAGAAAGCCCACCTACTCTCCAGTACCTCTGCTCTGGCAGGTACACCCGTCCCAGTGCCTCCCACCCAAGGATCCAGAAGGTTCCCACACTCACTCAGGCTGCATCTTCACACCCTGCCAGTCCCAGCTCTGTGGGAAGTCGGGTTGCGCCGGGTTGTCCCGTTGCCCCTTCCTCCACGGAACCCACCACGGGAACTACGACCGCGGAGGAACCTCCCTGACACACCAAAGGTCTCCGTGTTGAGCTTCCTCTCTTCAGCCCATGTTGTACGCCTGGAACTGGACCAGAGATAAGGTGTGTGGAATCCTGATGACAGCAGGTAACAACTCAAGCTCCATCCTCGTAACAGCCCAGGGAAGAACCACAAGCTGTTGCTGGAGCCATTACAGAGGTGGAGGGAACAGGTTAGGCCTGGAGATGAAGACCACTGCAACCATCTTCCTGAGCACTAGACTGCTCAAGACCTACCTTTCATCAACAAGGCTAAGCAGGTTGCCACCAGTGGGTGACAAAGGAAGCCTTCTCTCCACTGATTGCTGGGCAGGGAGAGAAGCTTGGGCACCCAGGCCCCATGCAGACCTCAGACCAAAACAGGAGATACAGACTCCTCCAGACTCAGGTTTCTACTAGAAGGATATGAGTGGAGAGGGGCAGGGCTGGATGGAGCAAGAATGGTGCATGTGCTTCTGGGGGTGATAGCAGATGGCATCACAGCTCTCACACATCATGCTGCCCAAACATTTGGGAGCATAACTCCCATGTACAACCATGTGCCCAGTGCAGCCAAAATGTTGGCAGACAGCCAGCTAGTTCCTGCCCTTCAGTCTAGAAGCCTGCTGCATCCACAGGTTTCTTGTTTGAAAATGACACTGTTCTTCACGTACCCAAGCCAAGACACGTGGGAGTCATTCTGGACTCTCCATGCTCTGTAAGTGCCATCCTCAAAACACACTGTGTCCAGCCTTCCCACCACATACAGCCCAGTATTCCAAGAATCTGCACTCCTGCTGAGCCAGCCACCTTGTCCACCTAGCCTCATAGTGGCCCATTCTGGGCCACTCTCATCAACATGCTATATTGTCGCATGTCACTCCTGGAAGGTTGCCCACAGGATCATAACAAAGCCAACATCATTACTGTGACCTACAACACCCTACCTGAACTCCTACAACACCCTCCAACCCAGCCCCACAGAGACACATAGACCTTCACTCACCCGTGGCTACCCTCCCACCCAGCCCTGCCCACCCTCCACTGCTGGGCTCCTACGTGTCCTCTGTTCATGTTTTGTGCATCTCCACTTGCATGCTCCCCCAGTGGAGTGTGAGCATGTGCCAGGGCCACTCAATTTTGCCTGCTGCCACTCTTGAATGCCTGGGAACATTCCTGGTGCTCAACCTGCAGGACACATGGATCTGGGTTTCCACACCATGCTTAATCTACAGATTGCCCACATAGTCCAGAACATTTACCCAAGGTACTAAAGACGATCACACACGTGAAACATGGTCACTGGTGGCCAACACCAAGGGAAAGAACATCACGGTCAGAACACTAGCCAGGCCACTGACACCAGCAAGCAGCCCAGCAAGAACACTGAATATGGACAGGAAACCTAGTGACCAGGGGCCTGACCTCAGTGAGTTCCCCTGTGGCTGGATGATTGCCAGAATTTCTTGCACCACATCCTGGATGGCTGAGAGAGACAACTGGGGACTCTAGCATCTATTACATAGAAATGCAAGCTCCTAGGGCATGTGCCCTGAATTCAAGGCTGTAGGTTAGGTCTTCAGGTGGAGACTGCAGAGTCTGTGCTTCTGAGACATGCATGCAGTGATGACCTTCTCCACCAGTCCACGGAGGCCTCACCTGGTCTTGAGTTCAGAGGAGATGTTGTCAAAGAATGACTTGGATTTATCGTAGTAGCAGTTGGGCCCCAGGAGGTCTTCTTCAGCAGGAGTTTCATCACTCTGAGTCACCACAGCTGGGTCCTTCTCTTCCCCCTTCTCAGCTTTGTCCTCTACAAAGAGAAGTAGAGCACACAAAGGTGCAGAAGCAAACCACAACCCCCCTCCAAGGAGGTCTCTCTCCAGGGGTCCATTCAGCAGCCCACACCATGTGTCTGTGTCATAATAAGCAGAGACCTCTTTTTACCAACAGTCAGAACAACTGTCTCCCCCTCTCACCCTCAAACACTTCCTTATCTCATTAATTCTTTGTTAATTCCAGTTTCCAGACTGGTCAGCACCCCAGCTGGCTTCCCAGATCACCTCAATCTTTTCATAGCACACTCTAGGGATACGTCCAGGGAGTAGTAACTTTTATGCAAATCAGACCTTTAAAATTCAGCTTCTTCTTGAATTCTTTATCAAGCTCCTCTCGGTTAAACTGAGCATTTGCACTCTCGAAATCGAAGTCACCTTCAAACTTGATCGTGTTCTCTTTGACATTAGTTGGACGGTTTTGCCCCCTGGAGCGATTTCTTGTTCGCCGGTTGCCTACAAGGAAGAAGGACAGCAATGGCTGAAGTAAACCGCCATCCAATGTTTCCAGCAGGACTTCAAATACAGCTTCCAAGCACAAGCAGACAAGAGGGGCAGCATCCACGAGGACAAGCAAAATGTGGCCTGTTGCTCATGGCTCCCAAACTTGGGTGGCCACAGGTGTTACCTGACCGCCTCCTTTGAGGTCTTCGGTTCTCGTCATTCACCTGCCCTTGAGTGTGCACAGCTGCCGGTGGGACTACATCTGAGGCGCAAAGGGAAGAGTAAGGCAAAGCTCCAGCAGAAGCCAGAAACCAGCCACCAAAGCAGGGCACCACCACTGCCTGGGGCCCCATGGAAGGAAGTCTGCCATATGGGCCTGTCCAAAAGCATGTGGGGCTTAGGATAGGAGAGGAGTTTAATGCTTTAAAAAATAACCCAGAAAATAGTGTGCCACTGTGAACACAGCAAACTGCAGGGGAGGAAGAACTCAAGTACCGCCAGTGGTCTTGCTGCTTGGCTGGGCCTGGCGACCGTTGAGTTGCGTCCCTGTGGTGCCCTTGCCAGGTAACAGCTTCTTGGCATTCAGGTTATCGACAGAGCCAGTCTGGACAGCCTGTTCCACCATGGGGCTCTTGCCAACAGGGGCAGAAGGAAAGCCAGCTCCTGAATTGAGGAGAGGAAGAGGGTTTACAAATAGAGAAGAAAAGCCTTACACCTCTAGTCACTTCTTTTCTGGCTGACAATCAGTCAGGAAAGGGCAACTGCCCAGAGAGGGTCCAAGCCCAGGCCAAGCTTCCCCAGACTGGGCCGCTCCCTAAGGAACAGCTTTCTAGAACCACACAAACTCTAACCCCAAAGGGGCTCAAATAGCCCTAAGATGATGAATTTCAGGATTCAACAATCTGTTTCATTCCAGTCCACACCCGAGTAGAACCAGCTGGGGTCTTCTAGCAAGTGCAGTGGTCAAACTTCAAAGTTAAATTCTAGAATACTGTCATTTTTGCTTATAAGATAATAAAAAAATAGGATGAAGAGGGAAGAGCTGACCACAGTTGTCAGCCTGCAGCTTCACAAGAGTACAGGCTCCTCATAAAACAAGAAGGGCACCCTGGTGGCCTCAGTAAGGGCTATTCTTAGAGTACTACCCGAGATACATCTCAAAACCAAGCCTCAGTGGTGGTCCTGATGCAGGGGATGTCATCTGAACCTGGTAGAGGGTGTGCAAAAGGCCACCTGCCCAGACTGCCTCTTCCCACTCCTCTCCCAGGTTCCAGGATCTGTGGGAAGTGTTAAAGAGAGCACCTGGGGACTGAGTGGAAGTGGTCAAAGATGAGACAGAAAAATAAGTCCTAACCACAGGGTAACCACTGTCAGAGGGGCAGCCCAACACAGATGAAGAAGGGATACACCCTAACTTTGTATACTGGACTGATGTTATGGAAATCAGTGTAGAAAAGTTCTTGTAGCCAAATCAAGAGTAGCCCTCACAGGGCAGGCATCGGAAGGTCCTCTCTGACAAGAACTAATCTGGACCACTTTCACTGGCTTATCATCACACAGGAATGGATAGGGCAAGAACTTTGGGCATATTTGCCTTTTAGAAAATTGAACCAGTTAAAACAATCTATCTGCCCTTTGGGTAGTTTTATGTAAATATTCCTGAGAAAAATCAGAGTACAAAGTGTTTAAGTGGAAAAAATATGACTGCTCTCAGACATATGCAGAACTTAAAAGCAACATATCTAACAGACTGACATTGCTTGTGTGGCCAAACAAGAGCATAGACAGTTTCTTGGACCAAGTATGGATGATGGTAAAGGTTTGAGCCTGTGGCAATGCACATGAAGCATAGGTAAAACAGATGTGTAAGAAAACAGTGAAAGTGAAGTTCAGAACTTGAGGTAAGTGAGAACATCAGGAAACTCTAAAAATACCATAGCATTGCTGTCTTAGCAGACAGGTGGACACTACATTGACAAGGTGGCCTTCAGGACAATACCCAGCAGCTGGCCATAGAGCTGATCATCACTGAGCTCCCATCCTGAACATGCTGAAGGATGACTTGTGTTTGTGAAGTGGCTGGGGAACTCCGCTGCAGCAGTCTAGAACATGATTAGGTCCCAGCAAACCCCCAAGGAAACAGCTTTGTATTCAAAGGAAGTTTCCCAAGCATGATGTTTGGGGCAGGTCAAAACAAACTCTAGACCCAGGCAGTGTGAACCAAGGGCTCCTTATCTAAAAATAAAAAATAAAAAGGGCTGGGGAGGTGGCTCAGTGGTGTGCCTCTGGTTCAATTCCCAGCACCAAAAGGAAAAAAAAAAGCTATAAAACTGGTAGTTATGAACCACATTTTGGGCTGTTTAAGCAGTATCACTGCTCCCTAGGCCTAGCAAACGATCTACGGCTTCTGTCATTCTGGCTCTCATTTTACCCCCTTGCACTCAGAATGGTCTGCAAGACAGCATGCAGTTAGTTCTCCAAACTGCTGTTACCCTTGGAAGTGAGCTGAGGTGGCTCTGAGGACATGTCAAGCTCTGAAACAGGCTGTGGAGATGGAGAAGAACTAGGGCTGGAAGCAGCGGCTGAGGCTGGAGGGCTTACCAACTTCTCTAAAGGAAGAGAAAGGAGAAAAGAGCAAAGAGAAAGCACACAAATAAGTCAGGACATACTTATCTTGTGTCTAGCAAACTTGGGAAGAGCCAAGCAGACTCTCATAGGACACTTTGCTCATACACACACATTTTAGAAACAGTAAGCTGGGCTGAGAAATCACCTGTCACATGAGGAACAGCAATCAAGACAAACAAGTAACCCACAGAATTGATCTGGGTCTAATTAATGCTCCCTGCCTCCCACTGGGGTCCAAGCAAAGACTGCTAGTGCCATGTTCTGGACACAAGCTGCAGAGCTAGAGCCAGGCCAAGGCCAAGGACAAGACCACGCTCACTCTCAACATGGAAAACAGACTCTTTACTCTAGGACTAGTCAACCTTGGTTAAAACCATTTTGAGTAGGACCCTTATGGCAGAATAACAAAAAGATTTAACAGGAAAATAGGATATTATATTTACAGGCTCACAGATGTGCAAACATCTAGAAGTCCTACATGAGTACACGTGTCAGCACTCCTCCTTCCAGGCAGGTGTACCAGGACTTCCATGCAGACCCAGGCTGATGTTCCAGATCAATTCTGACCTGGTCCATTGAGTCCAAGACCCACAATGCCCACTCTCACTCAGCTGGACAGCTACCAGATACTGGAGAGCCGAAGCTGCACAGGGGAGACTCATCCAGCATGTGCTACAATAAGTAGTCTAGGAGCTGAACATGACAAGAGGACATGCCCCACCCTTAGACCTGTCACTGTACTTCCTGGTGATCATAAGCAGGGTAGTTCAGGAGACAGAAACTATTACTCACCTAGACCTAAGGACGCAGCATACTGCTGGCTGAGCAGGGAGCTGGCTGCCAGCTGGCCGTAGGGCGGCATCCCTCTGAAGGGGCTGTAAGGCACATGCGGCTGGAAGGGCGAGGCGGAGGCAGAGCCCAGAGAAGACTGAACAACGAGACACACCGGTAAGAGAGGTGCAAGGCCATCCTGATACCCTGCAAGTCTGCTCAGAGCACCTGCTCAGGAGGGAAGCGCCAGTTCTGTCACCTGTACTGCTGACATGCTGAGTGGTCCTGGGGGAGTTTTCAGTAGGGTCAAAGCTGCCTTTTTCCAACCAGTTGCACCTGTCCATGTAACACTATCATGAATTTCTCCTAACTTAATTAAAACCCTCCGACAACTCCTCTCTGTCACTGGTGGAATCTAGCCTCTCTAACAAGAGAAAGTACCACCCTCAATTCCAGACATATCCCTGCAGAGGTGCTTCCATTTCCCAACATCTGTCTTTGCTCTGAACCCCAAGCCTCCGAGAGGACGGCTGCTAGTCTGAGGACTGACCTTTCCCCATGCCCTTCACCTGGCTATTTCCTCTTTGCCCCTTGAGCCTGGCTCAAACATACATTCTTCTTTCCAAGTCCGTGAGAACCCTCCGTCCAAACTTCAGAAGCCTGGCCTGAAGAGCTCCTCCAAAGCCCACCCTGCCTTCTCCTACCTTCCAGGTGCACCCTCGACTCAGAACCCAGTGCATCCTGAATCCCAAAGGAGCCAACAAATGTTTAAACTTACAAGTAAATATTAATCTGGGCCCCCTGGTAATCCTGAGTCACAACCTAAAAGGCTGGAATGTGGCTTAAGACTTACAAATTTGGGGTTCCACTGTTTTCCCGACAAGCATCCCATGCCACTCAGGGCTTGATTACACTATGTCCAGGCAAAACCCCAGAAGTAGCACCTCTTCACATCACACACACACACACACACACACACACACACACACACACAGTGAGTCACAGGCCTCCTACCCAGGGGTCATGCCACACAGAACACACTACCTACTATATGCTGCGTGAATTAATGCTTTTCATAGGAACATCAAGCACTAGATGAAAATGAGACCACTTTTTACTAAAGAGTCATTTCTCAATTTGAGCACTCTAGTCAAACATTCCAGGAGAAGCCAGCTCCCTTAGAAATGGTATCATGTGGAAATACAGTGACACACATACCTGAACAATGGCAGGATCCTGAGGGAGAGTGTGCTGAGCTTTCGGAGGTTCACATACAGTGATATCTTTGATGTCACTTCCCCGGAAAATGATGTACTCGTAAATTTCCTCTCTTGGGGGAGCAGGCCTATCTGTAGGACGATCTTCGGTACCAAAGGATCTCACTTAAGGATGGAAAAAAAGGAAGGGTTGTCACCCTTTGCCAAGTCCATTTTATCAATCCTCTGTCACTACAGCCCTATATAGTTCCTGGGCCTGACAGAAGATAAGGGCCTCTGCCCTGAGCACCATCCCAACACAATACCCAAATTTACAATTCAACAGCTACTTAATCCCTTTAAGAGGGTCCCATCAATGAAAGTCCAAAAAGACAGTGGTTCCTAACTGACAAAAAGAATTTCAAAACAAAGTCTCACATAACTGACAAAAAGAATTTCAAAACAAAGTCTCACAAAGATTCATATGCTCCAGTGTAAACACATGGATACGCAGAACTTTCTGCTTTGCAAAACCTCCCTGGTTCACATCTGCCTTTGCAGATGAAACCATCAGCTGTTTTGTGCTCAAGGTCTCACCACACTCTGCAGCTGCAAAGGAAGTTTTCTTAGGTGAGGACCCAGGAGAGTGTCACCCTTACCCGTCTGCATACATCCAATCTAAGGGAACATCATAAAAAAAGAGGAGAAAAAAGACCTAAAACTGGGATCCCTAACAATAGCTTCATGAATCCCCAACAGGGTCCAAGAACCCTATCACACTTCTACTCTGTATGGCTCTAGGGCCAGACTGGGCTTGGAAGCAGGCTCTATCTAATAGGGAGGGCAACTCCTACTGGAGGGCCTACTCTTACCTCAGTTTCTATAACTGGGATCTTGTGTCAAAATAAGTACCATACCAAGAGCTCAAACGAACAAAAAGACTTGGAACACCCTGCTGTTTCCTGCAGTGTTACCCTGTGTGCCCAAGTTTGCACATCAGGGTTCAAAAAGAAACATGTCTAGGATTTGGGACAATTGCACCCTGAGTCATGGGTGACCCAGGCCAGCTTCAGACAGGTCTCAGCACTTGGCACCAGGACCGGAGGGCCTAACACCAGGCACACAGCACACCGCGGGCTGCTGCAGAGCTGGCCGTGCTGGCTTTCCTCCAGGAGGCAGGGGAACCCGCTCCCGTCCTCTAGAGGATGAAGACAAAGAGGCCCTGGGCCCGCATTGCCAGCACTGGCATGTGGGTTCTGGACCTCTCTAGTCACAACAAGCACCCTCAAGTCAGCCAGCACCTACAGACAGCTGTCACAAAAGGACAGCTCAGTGGGGCCCACAGTAAAATCAGTCGGTTCAGGCACCCTATGCCAACAGATGCTCCACAGGAACCGGTGGACCCAGCTGGATAAAGCGTTCCAGGAGAAAAGATGCGCGGGTTCTTTTCACCCCGCCCCCACCCTGCCTTCTGGGGAGGCCTGGGAGACACGGCACCTGGTCCCTGCTGGAACAGTCCCCACACACAGGTGAAGAAGAACCACAGCTATCGGAGCCGCCCATCCCGCAACACCTGCAGGACGGGCTGCATGGAGAGGGCGGCGCCACAAAAACCATTGTGCGGGGGCGGGAACCTGGCGAGGCCTGGAGGGGCGTCCCAGGGCGGAGACGGGGTTCCGGGCGCGGGGCGTTCAGGGTGGGGGAGGGGCTCGGGAGCGTCCCGGGAGGAAGGGGCGTCCCCAGTGAGCGCGGGGGCCATCCCGGAGTGGAGACCGGGCTCCGGGCCGGGGAATGGGGGACGCCCCAGGGTGGGGGCGGGGCCCG